CGGCGTGGCTGACATCAGTTCGGGTTTGGCGCACAGGTCGGAGAGCTGGCAAGCCTGCTCCTCCGCTGACTGGAAGGAGAAACCCTGGTAGTCGCCGATCGGGCTCTCCGTGTTTCCCAGCGCCGTCTCTGTGCAAGGATCTTCGGTGTAGATCTGCCACAGCACCACAAGGCACAGGATGACCAGCCAGCGCTTGGCCTGGCTTTTCTCTGGAGGAGGAAGGTGCATGCGGACTTTAGCGGGGTACATGACCCGGGTGCAGCGCTTCTTCGGCCGGATGGGCACGTAGGAGCGCACGGCGGTTGCCTGAGCCGGGACCCGCTCAAAGGTAAAAACCTCCGGCTCCGTGCTTCGGCTCGTCATCCTGCATGAGGCGAATCTCTCCCGCTCAACAGTCAGAGTCGTGCTGTTTGACCGTGTGTACATTTTCTCGTAGTTTTGAGTCGCTTTCGCTAGGATTTGTTAGTTTCGCTTGCTCGTAGTTTGCTGCAAGTCAGATATGCTCCAGTCGCCAAGACCTCCAGATTTATACATTCGAAACCCAGGTTGTTCACTTTAACCCCGCCTTTCTACACCGCAAGCCACTCCCTGTATTGCACAAGTGAGGAAAAAAAAAACTTTAAAAATTTTTTTATATGTCGTATGTGCCAAAGCTCTGACCAAGCAGGCTGCGGATGGAAGCTGAATCACCAGGGCTTGGTAGAATGACTACGTTCTACATTCCCCACATTAAAAGACTATTCAGTATTTGAACCAATCAAATAAGCGAATTTAATCTTAATTGTATTTAAAATCACTTAAAATTATAATATGAATATAATGCTAAATATAAATGTTGATCATTTAATTTGCGGATTTTTAAAATATTGGTTTAATTATAAACCACTAAACTGTCATATATTGTTGTTAGATATAAAATAAAAAGTTTTTTTTTTTCCCCCCAGAATTAAAACAAAAATCCCATATTTTCATCAACAAGGTCACACACTTTTGATTGTTGGACACTTTATAAAATTGAACCTTCACATGGTACTCACATGATATCCTGAAATCTTTGGGGAGAGTCCCAAGGTTTCAGTTTACTCTAAACACTTTACGCTCTACAGTATGTTGTCAGCAACATGTGACAGTTATGTTAGTGGAAACTTCCTTCAAATAAACATGAGGATGTTATTCTTATTGAGCCCTCAAACTCGAACCCGAGAAAGGGGAATGAATGGCTGAATGTGAAAATGTGAAAAATATTATTTTAATGTGTGCCATGTAGATTATGAAAAGGGGGGGAAACAGACTAACGGGGGGGAAAACAAATGCAACTTCCTTCCCACACCTTGAGTGACACACACACATTTCATGCCAAAGAGTGAAAACATATCCTGCTGTGATTAAAACTGTAATTTACGTAAACGTAAATGCCACTTCTCTAACCTCTACTTTGAAATAAAAATAAAAATGATTCACGTTCAGTCAGACACTTCTTTTTTTTCCTTAGGGAATCCTCCAATTCCCAAATTACAGTGTTACATCTAAATGACTTCTCCAAATGCTGACCTGGAAACAGTGAGGCTGACTACAGTAACTTTGCTGTGGCAGCTTATTTGCATGCAGAAGAACAAGGTTTCATACAAACTCAAAGTGAACAAATAACAACAAATAACAAAGATTTTGGCCTTTTGTTCTGTTTAGTTCCAGCTTAAATTTAAATTCAAGTGAAAGTTGAATGTGACAGAAAGGAAAACCAGAGAGAGGCCACGAACTCCAGTTTGTGATCACTGTGTTCACACATAACAATCACCAGTATGAGCAAAAATCATTGTCTGTTGCTTTGTGTAATGCTATGCCCAGCATGCAGTTCACATGAACAAAAATCAATACAAACAAATACAAATATTTAGCCAAAGAGTCTGCCAGCACAGGACCGAGTACACAAACGTGAAATACAAAGGCTGGCATGCTTTTCTCTCTCTCTCTGCACACTAGTTACACAGTGTTGTGCACTCCCCAAACTGGCCGGCTGGTGGGAGTGCACATGGGCTTTTTTAGGCCAAGTCAAACGTCCACGATAGCCTCGTGCTTGTGCAGACACTCCAAGCTTATGTTGGTGTCTTAACGTAGGCCTTGGTTTCC